CTAGTTTTAGCTCTTTGCTATTGTTTTGGTCATTTTCACATTTAGCTACTGTTTGCTAGTTTTAGCCTTTACTCACTGTTTTGATGTTCTTTTCTCCTGTTTTGGTGGTTGAGATTTTGTTACTGTTTTGCTATTTTTAAATTTTTTAGTGACTCTTCTGCTAAAAACAGTTTTTAGATAATGTTTAGCTCATTTTAGCTGTTGTTCTGATTGTTTTAGCTTGACAAAATTGGTTTCAGCTTCTTCAGCGAGTTTCGGCTGTCGTTCAGCTCTCAGCATCTTCTCATAAATCTCTAATTTTTCTAGTTTTGATTGGGAATAATATTTGAATAATAATTACTCCTTGTAATGTCGAGCTTTGATTCCCGTCAGTCCAAAAAAAGGAGAAAAAGCTTCAGTTAATGAATGAATAATCTCTTAATAATCTGTAAACTGAGAGAATGAGCGGTGGTGAGGAACCGGGAGTCTGGTAGTCTCATTAGCAGCATGCAGTCAGTCACATCGCTGAAGAATGCATCCAGCAGGGAGGTGGAGCCGCTGCACGGAGGTCAGAATGAGGGAGGGATGGGGGAGAAAGAAGGAGGTGATTGTTCAGCAGGAAGATAAAGGAGGGAGAGCGAGTTGGAGAGGGAGAAGACGAGGAAGGAGCTCACTCAGATGTGATGAAGCCCACCGTCAGCAGGTAAGACCATGTTTGTTGATGCAGTCTCAGGTGGTGCAGAAAGTTCCGTCGAACAGAACTCAAAAGAGGAACTCCTTTTTTCTTGTTTCTTTTAAACTGCCTCCGATTCAGGACAAGTCCTGAATAATCTTGACCTTTTCATGAAGCGAGGCTCTTGGACCGGGTTCCAGGTGGTGGATTCTCTGCAGCTCTCCTGTAATCAGATCCGGCTGACTGGGCCGCACTGGCATTTGGATCTGTTGCGCAATCCCCGTCTGGAACGCTGTTCAGAGTGGAAAACCTCAAAAACCTTAACTAAAAGGGCTATACCAGGTCAGATCATTCACTTTTCATTCAGCAGAACCTTCTGGTCCAGTTGGATTTAGTCCTCTGACTTTAGGTCATTCAGATTTGACTCGTGTGAACAGGTTGTTTAGATGTACTTGTAGTAAAACATTAAATATGAGTAAAAGTACGGCTTGTCCTGATTCAGCCTCCTCCGTTCATGATAAACAGCTGAATCAAACCCACAGCTGAAGTTCTTCTCTGATAAAGTTCTACTTCTTCTGATTTGCAGCATGGCCGGTCCCACGAGGAACCTCCCGTTCTCTGTTCTGATCATCTGCCTGGTTTCCATCAGGGGTCTCTGTCTGGTGCCCACACCGCCCAGAGGCACCGGATCGCCTCCGCTCAGCTCATACCTGGACGATTACGACGACTACGAGGACACGGTTGCCCCCACTGCACCGGTCGAAGGGTCTCCAAAGCCCGGAGACCGCCAGCGCTGCGACTATGAGCCCTGTCGGGACGACCAGACCCCGTGTGACGCCCTGTCGAGGTCCACCGGCTGCTTGTGCCCCGGCTTCACTCTCTACACCGAGCAGCCGGACCCGCCCAAACTAACATCTGTGTCCCGGAACGGATCACGAGTGGTAGTTCAGTGGTGCGCTCCGTATTCCCACGTCATAACCTACATGGTGACGGTGGGGGGTCAACTGAGAGGTGTCTTTGGGGAGAGCCAAAGGAGGGGCTCGCTCGACGAGATAGCTGTCGAAGAAGAAGTCTGCATGGTTGCCATGAACGAGGCCGGGAGCAGCGACAGGTCCTGCATGAGGTACCGGCCTGAAGAGAACAGACCGCCTCTGACAGCGTGGCTCATCGGGGGGGCCGGGGGCCTCCTACTGATCCTTTTGGTGGCCGCCATGCTGTGGAGGCACGGGAGGCAAGACAAACAGGAGGACGGCCACGTGTGAACCGAGACAGAAAACCCTGAAGGACTCAGACCCAGGAGACCCGTCTGCACCGAGACTTTGTGTAAACACGAGGAAACTGGGCCCATCAGCTGATTATTACTATAGATACAATAAATCAGCTGCAGGGACGTTTAGAAAGAACCTCGATGTGTTTAAAAAAAGTAAGAAATTAAAGCACAAACTGCACAAAAATACACTACAAATAGAAAGGGATCCGGCTTTTAGAGGGTTTAACGGTTCTGAACTTAACTTGTTTACTGGTTCTGAAACACAAAGGCGTGGATCAAGTCTGACAGAAAACAAACAGTTTTCTTCTCTGAGCACAAGTGAATCAGCTGAGGAGGTTCGAAGACGCACACCAAGACTGAGCTGGCCCTGCGACGTGTACGCAACTTGAACTGCTCTAGGTTTACTTTTTAATCTGCTGAAAAATGCACAAGACGGACTTTTTAAACTCTCGGTGAGAGCTCAGCGTTTGGTTTTTAACTGGAGCTGAATGTGGCATCAGTGATGAATAAAACCAGCATGACGTTCTTCTGGGTCGTTATGTTCTGATCGTGTTGGTGCAGAGAGAGAGAGATTGAATCTTTGACGAGCTGCCGTGTTTGTTTGATAAAGAATCTGCTCATTAAACCGGAGTGAAACGTTTCTGTAGCTGCAGCCATGTGTTAAATTATGTTCCTGGCAGCTGCGTGATGGGTGTGCTTCCATCTGTTCTGTTCTGTCAAAGAACTGGACCAGCACCAGTTGTTGTTTTCTCCAAACAATAGCCTTTTTATTCAGACACGGACTTCATAAAACTTGTTCTATCTTGTTAGCAGAGCTGCTGAGGAGCTTCAGGCTTTAAAACATGGATTAAAGTTGTAATCCTCTCAGTTTACCTAATGCATGTCCTGAGGTCATGATTTGATGTATTTTTTAGTTCTGGCTGTTGTCCTGCAGTTGTTCCACTCCTCGTGGCGTCTTTTTCTTTCACACAAAGTGGTCTGGATGCCATTAAACATCTTGACGCCACAGCTGGATTGGCCTCAAGATGTGGCTTTTGGTGACACGCTGAAATCTTTACACGACTCGCACAAGATGACTCTGAAACTCTGAAGTGAACTCATAACCTGTGACTGAGCGGGCCTGCTGGTCCTGCTGCAGAAGAAATTGTGCATTTATAAACATGTCTGACCTGAATGAACCTGAATTTACCCGCTGCGTCATGAAAAGTTCCTAATGAGCTTCGTGTCCGGTTATTCAGACAGAAAGTCATGCAGCCGTCTCTGCAGACGCCCTTTGAGTTTTAAAGCCTTTATGGTATTTAAAATGAATTTAAAGCACTTTATTCTATTTGATTACTACTACATGTTCAAATTTTAGGCACAAAGCTTCATTTATTTGAGAGAACTAAGTAATCTGTTGCGATAGTGTCAATATTTAGGGTGTTTTTAACACTAAATAAACTGCTCAATGTAAAAGAGCCGCGGTTGTGAAAAAGCATTTTAGTGAAGTTTGCTCTCTTTAAGCATGACTGTAAAGTCTTGGCTTGGATCAAAATCATGAAATTATCTGTAATAATTTAAATCACAGAGATAGTTAGGATGTTTTGAAGTGTGCTTCTGTGAAAAAGTGTGAACAGTGAGTATCTTACCTGTTGCAGATGAGCTATGGGCTGGTCACGTCGCTCAGTTTTGCATCCCAGTTTTTCCCAGCAAACATTTCATGCTATTTCTGCAGGAAAAGCTCCAGGCTGCACTGGAAGTGCTACAGCTAGCTGCTGCTGCTTGTAAACAACTAACTATTGCAAAAAGTGACAACAGCGTCGAGGTTTGTAAAACGGTGTTTGCATGAATGACGATGACATTTCAAAGACTGAAGTTGTTTTAGGACTGCAACAATCCAGTTTGGTTTTGGCTCCTTTCAGACTAGCCATCAGCTCATCAGTCAGGTCAGAAATAAACAGTTTCTAAACCAGATGTGGGCAACATATGGCTCAAGGGCCTAAAGTGTCACTTGGACAATCTCCACCGGGCCCCTAATATTCTTAATTGAAAAGAAAACTACTTTTAAATAAGTTGATGAAAACCTGAATTTTATCAAAGAATTTAAAATTAAACATGTTGGACAAAACATTTGGATTAAAAACCAGAGTAAAACGTAATGACTCCAAAAAACAAACGTTTTATTTTTATTAATTATTTTGCGTATTTAAGCAAACAAATATATTGTTACAAGAGTCAGTTTACAGAAAGTAGTCTTATATTCCAGAAGCGTACGGGGACACATTTCACGACGCACGCTAATGTTGCTACGAGACAAAGGCTGAAAAAATGATTCCAGATCTGTATGAAAGAAAATTAATTTTCTAATTTTATGCAGCCCTTTAATTGCTTTAACTAACACAATTTTGTCTTCTGGAAAAAAAACAAAAAACGTTGCCCAACCCTGGTTTAAACCTTATTAACGAGCTATCTAAACCAGGTAAGATGTTATCGGTTTATAACATTTTCACTGAGCCCCGTTCAAAAGTTCTGAATTATTCCTTTTAAAAGTGACTAAAGGTATCATAATTACTGGAGGATTAAATGTAAAAGATGCAAAATGTATGTTTAATAATCCCAACTTTTAAAATTTGTGTCCAAAGAAAGAAAGTTTTGTTGATCGTCAGCTTCTTTTCATGCTTCAATAATTCATAAAAACACTTTGTTTTCTCTCAGTAAACTTTTAAATTTGGGTTTTATTTATGAATTATTTTAAACAACTTGCTTTCTGAAGGCCCAGTCCGGATGCGTTTTACACAGAAATGGTCGTCTGTGAGGCCAAATATATAAAAAACACAAAAGAAGTTTGAGAGTTTTAACTTTTCAGGACAGAGTTCTTTCTTTTCGGACGTTCAGGCTTCAGGACCGCATTTTTCATACATAAGGCGCATTAAGTGAAACAAACAGATAAGTCAAACTTTATTAGCTCATTCACAATAACCACATCAAATCGATTCAAAGCCAGTAAGCACAACCAGAATTAAAGGTGCACCTGATTATAAGGATCGCTGCTGATTTTTGAGAGAATGAAAGGATTTAATTTAAATTTGCCTTATGGTCCGAAAAATACGGTAATTTGGTTTTCAGCTCAAAATGTTCTGTGACCCTGTGGGATCAATAGGTGTGGAGTTATTTTATCATAACAGCTTCTTGGCGTCTTTAAACCATTTTCTGTTCTTTAAAGTTTAATTTGTTGTTTTATAAATGTAAGCAAATGACTCCATTTGTATTAAATACATTAAATGTCATCCGGCAGACAGTTTGCAGACGCATCAGTAAATACTGACTCATGTTGATTTGGATCTGAATACTTTGTCCCTGTTACGGCTGCAGTGGTCTTTGCCTCTTTTCCTGGTATGGTTCTGG